ACACCGTTCATTTCTACACACAAAGTTGTACACCGCTCAGATGTACACCGCTCACTTGTACACCGCTCACTTGTACACCGCTCACTTGTACACCGCTCACTTGTACACCGCTCACTTGTACACCGCTCACTTGTACACCGCTCACTTGTACAACGCTCACTTGTACACCGCTCACTTGTACATCCCTCACTTGTACACCGCTCACTTGTACACCGTATACAAATGATGGAAAATTATCTGCTTTACAGAACAGTTAACCCGGGTTAAATATATATAAATATCCTGACTCATCTAGAGTCACAGTTTGCTTGAAATTCCATGTTATAAACACTCGAAACCCATCTAGAATCACAGTTTGCCTTAAATTTCATATTATAAACACGGTGTACAAGTGAGCGGTGTACAAGTGAGCGGTGTACAAGTGGGCGGTGTACATCTGAGCGGTGTACAAGTGAGTGGTGTACAACTTTTGTGTGTAAAAATGAACGGTGTACAACTTTTGTGTGTAGAAATGAACGGTGTACATTTTTACGTGTCTAATTGCACCGTGTTGAAAATTTATTTTCTATGTGTCCAAAAATCACTGTGTCTAAAATTTCTGTGTCTAAATGAACCGTGTCCAATTGAACCGTGTACACTAAAATGTGTCCATTCGAACCGTGTCTATTTGCAGCGTGTCCAATTGTACTGTGTCCAAGTGAAGGCCACTCGTCTGTTGCAATAGCGGATACTCGTACAGATCCCATGAACAAAATCCCATATTGAGGTATTGTCCGCTTTCCAAAGTACGCAGCATCGACAGTTTGTTCACCTCGTTTAACAACACATGCGGCATGCGCCACTGTATCTTGAATAATTCAAGTTTAGGCTCCATCGCTGCATTTCCAAAGAGACAGTTGTTATCATTGAGCGATCGTATTAAAATCAATTCGTGACGGGCGTTAATCACCACGCGTTGATAATCTTCACAGAATCCCAATAGCATGCTGAGCGGCACACAAAAATTAAAGTCTCCGGTTCCATTGTTCACCACATCCCAGCCGGCATTCTTCAGAAACATCATTTTATCGAACGATGACGAGGCATAGGTCTTGAGCGTGCTGGTTATTCCAACATTTCTGGCACGATCAATCTCCACACCATCCAGTTCATATCGGATCTCGTCGAACATGAACGCGACACAATTATTTCCCAGTACTACATCAGATCCTTCGATTTGTTTGGCAGTAGTTAGTTTTCCCTCGATGTACAGAAAACTTTCATGCAGCAACGTAGAGAGATCCTGTTGTTGTATTGATATTCTTATCTCATCGCTGTGACCGAATGTAGTGTTGGCAAACGGATTGTACGAGTGAGTCTCAATCTTGACGATGCGCTCGTCGAAGATTGGCTCTTCGTTGATATTGAGAATGTCAATCATTGTTTGCGCACTGCGAATCCCAAAGAGGTTAAACATTCCACGTTCAATGCGTTGAGTTTCTTCTTCTTGCAACAACCAGACGACTGGATATCACCGAATCTCGATGTCGCAGGCTTGGTGGTATTTTTTACAATTTGCTCCGATCCGTTCAGCACGAGCATCTCATGCACACTCGCGCGCGTTATCGCTGTCGTCGGCGTACGTGCAATCTGAGGGTGATTTCTTCTCCGCGAAAGTCGAGCAATTGACTGTTCTGATCCACAACACGTACCGTTAAATCGGTAATGCTCCGTGCGATGACTGGCAGGTAAATGATCTGCATCGGCGTTTCCGATATCTTCCGATATCCTGGTGACACGTTCGGCGAAAATTCGTGTATCGTGTGCACAGGCTTGCTGTTGCTGTACGCACCCGCGGTCACGTTGCACTCTACGCGGATAATGTTCACATTGGTAATGTTGATCGGCAGGTCTGATTCATGCCACTTTCGCGGTTGCAGTATACGCGTCGATGAGAACCCCAGTAGCGATCCGATGTTGTTGGGCTTGCTAAAGTTTATTTCGAAGGCGCATTTGATCTCACTTCTCATCGTGTTGTAATTAGCGCGGAGCACAATTGGGTATTCATCGTCTTCATCGTCACCGTCGTCGCGTTTTTCACTGCCATCGTTAGCTAGGAACCGACGTGGACGTTTCCATGAAAGTGCGCGTTTCAAAAATTCATTTATGGCCTGCAATTCATACGATCCTTCGGGAATTGTAATTTCCGCGTCGTCATAGTAAAATTTATTATTCGAAGCATTCACATTCGATATCGTATTGTAAGTCTCAAAGTTCATCAGACCGAGCTCGTAATCGTCGTCGCTCAGGTCTATGGCTGGAAAATAGTTTACAGCGAGCATGCTGCTCTTTCCCGTCAGCGTGAGTGTTAGCGACATGGTGGATGAAAAGCCGTTCAGCGAATACTGACTCCTCGCGACGCCTCGTCAAGCTTTTAAATTCGCACGCGTCAGTCGTCGACCGTTTGGAGAAATCGTAGACACAGCTATCCGCAGATGCTCTGATCGTAGGTCTGATGGGATGTTCGATTATACACAGTTGTTCCATCATCTCCGAAATATTTCACCAATTCTTTAGGCAGTTGGAGATTACCAAAACTGTCGAAATATTCCACACGGTTTCCCCTCTTCGCGTACGCTACCCAGTGAGTGCCGGGTCTCGCCGCGTTGTCCAGATTGACGATACCGCTCTCGTTTCG